AAATGCTGTCGATTTTGCAATTCAAATCTTCCTTAACAGCAGACAGATGTTTATTTTTGGCCCTTAGGGATTTTATTGTCCGTAAAGAGTGAATAGAGATCAAGAAACGATATTGAAGTCACAGGAACAGAAAGAGGAAATGCCAGATTGGAACCCGTGGCAGCTGGACAAGCTCAGTGTATTGGAACACACAGGTTATATATTTCTGAAATGTATTGCTTGTTTGGTGCAGTCTGAGGTGTCATTTTTCACTAGTTCGTTTTTCCTGGTCTGAATTCTAGCCTCTTTTCAGCATGATGATCTGTCCTGTAAGTTTCCTAGTTTGCCCAGTTGAATGGAGGAAGCAGAAACTGCTGATGATTGTGTGTGAAATTGGATTTGCTGTGTGTCCTTTTTGGATGTTTTTGAATGCTGGGACTAGCCTTGTCTACACTACATCTTTTGCTTGTGCAGTTTTACAAGGGCTTCAAGTGCATGTTGTGTGAGTTTTGTTGCACTGCAGGCTAGTGCTGGGGCGGTATACCGGTTCATACCGAATACTGGTGTTTATTTTTGTTATGATATGAATTTTTAAAATACCGCAAAACCGGTGTATGTCGCTTAAACAACGTTTGGAACGCGACACTGTTTGAAAGGGGTCCCTTTTCACTGTTGCACTGTGGTGAGGGAACAGCTGTATGTGTTACTAAGCGTGAAAGTTCTGAAACTGAAGCTGTAGAACTAATAGAACGTGATGACACAGAAGAACTCATCCACAATATCCACACTGACCCCCACAAATATCCACCGCCCCCTGCCATCAGCTCCCGCGTCTCTCACACACACACGCCAGTGCTGTCCCGTGAATGCGAGGTCTGACTTTCCCGGAGAAGTGTCACCTCTCTCGGTGTCTGTTCTGTGCAGTGAGCGGCAGAGAAGCAGCGCATTCAGTTGGCCGCACCGCAGCCGACTCGTTAATAAATGAGTACAAAACAGCATTTCCAAGCCCCTGCCGCTTACTGATTGTTTGGAATTATAAATATGAGCGTAGTTCATATCACCACATCACATATAACTTTTTTTGTTTGTTGTTTTTTTTAGTTTGTTACTCAGACGCAGGCAGTGCGCTGCATGAGACAAAAAAAGCAATATAGCCAAAACAACCGCATAGCCGCTCTTTAGTGTAGATGCATGTTGATTTTAGACGATGCCGCGATTATAAATGAGAGTGACTCCTGGTTAACATGTATTAAAAGGGGTTGTGTTTAGTCACTAACACAACCCCTTTTATGAAAATTATGAAATTTTAAAAATGTTACAGTAGTTTACAATTTTTTGTATAAAAGCAGACTGTGTGTTCTGTGGAAAAACAAAAAAAAATACTGTGATATAAATTTTTGGTCATACCGCCCAGCACTACTGCAGGCTTCATACAAACTGGGATAGTGAGGAGGAGGAAGTGAGGCCTTGGCTTATGCTGTAATTCAGAATGGTTTGGTAACTTCACCCCAGAATTGTAATATAATAACGGATACATTTTAGTTGCTTTTCCTATTTTGCGACAAACACTGCAGATCATTGTGTCACTCAAGATGACTCCATCTGCATTTGTCACAAAAAATAGTGCTATGATTTTGTTCTGACACATCATGTATTCTGTTGCATTTATACCAAGTTATCAAGTTACTCGGGTAAACAGTATTTACTCACTACACATACATTTTTTGCCAAAGATAGATTTGAAAACGTATAGGTTTTAAACTTTTTAAATTTTTGTCTTTTTTTGTTATGATAATAGTAATGGACGCTGGAGTGGTTTTAAATCACAAACAAGATATTTTTATCAGAACATGGTTACTTTAAATTGTAATAATATTACACAAAATTACTGTATTTTAGATCAGTTTCAAAAACATAAAAATATCTTACAACCCCTAATTTTTCAGTCATTTTATGTCAAATTATATTAAATTTATTTAATATCGAAATTATTTTTTATATATCAACATTCAGTATTTGATAGCCATGTAGTGTAGGGTTCACCGATAGCTTATGTGTTTTTCAGGGCCGATGCAGATACCGATTATTACAGATCAAGTAGACCGATAACCGATATATGTCTGGTGTAAAAATGAAAATTTATGTCAAAATTAAGAATAACAAGAAAACTTTCTTTAAATGCTTTTAAATTACTTTATCGGCAAATTGGTTTTGAAAATTACCGATAACCATAAAAATGCTTATTATTGGTGCCATTAATCGGTTGACCCCTAATCCCCCGAGGGGGACAATCCCACCCTGCGTCAGCTAAGGACGGCCCTGGTTATGGGTTATGAAAATTAAAAAATGTTACAGTAGTTTTTTGTATAAAAGCAGACTGTGTGTTCTGTGGAAAAACAAAATGTTAGTTTCTTCCTAAAAGTCATTAAAAGATGCAATAAACATGACATCATATATTATGTTGCTTTATACCAGTTATCGAGTTACTATACAGTATTTTACTCGCCACACTTTTTTTTTTGCCAGAGATAGATTTTATCATTTTATTTTTTAAACTTTGTGAAATGTTTTTTTTATTTTTTTTATTTTACCTTATTTACATCATGAAAGCCATGGTAGGCATGATGTTAAATCACAAACAAATAACAAACTCTTACGTTGAACAAAAATAGTAGTAATTATCTTGACTTTTTAAAATGGTGTTTAATTTATTGCAAACACATTTTAGCATGTACAGTAGACCGGCCTACATTGTACATGATGTATTCATGTTTAGGAAAGCCTTGTCTCTAAATTTATCTCCTTTACCACTTACATTTATGCATTTGGCCGGACACTCCAAGACTTACATTGCGTTCAAGTTCACATTTTTTCAATTCATACAGTCCATGGGAACTGGACTCATGACCTTGGTGTCGCCATGCTGTGCTGTTTGAACTAAGACAATACTGCTAAAAAAAAGAAAGAAAGAACAAAAGAAAATCTAGGTAAACTCTTCGGTTGACCTCGATAATTAAGCAGTTGTTGGATGACTAGTCGATCACCCTAACCCATCTCTACTGCACAGAAAACCACAAGACCCAGTTTGATTCCCACACAGATCTTGGCGTCCCACCGAGACGCGTATGCCCTGGCCTGTGGTTTATGCTACACATGTGTCTGCGAGGGTCCCGCCACGTCGGCTTTTTGCTGCTTGACTGCCTCTTGCTCTTTCAGAGCAGTGACATGCAGGAAATGCTATCTTTAGAAAATGCATGCTAGTGTGTGAACAGAGACGGAGGGCGAGGAAGTCATGAAACCTAATGTCTGTAAATCATTTGTTTAGCCAAAACACAGCCTTCCATTTCCAAAGGGATTAATAACCCTGTTTATTTCTGGGATTTGCATTACATTCATATTTAATCAATTATTAGAGACAGGACATCACTCACTGAATTAAACATGCATGGAGTGAGTTCATGTGACAAAGATGTACCGATCTACAGTGTTGTTTTTCCTGAATACTCTACTTTCTCTATAGTTTTGAATGCAGTTTTTATATCAATGCACTACCGTATCATATTTTGTGGAAAGTACGTTTATTTATAAGAAATTCATACATTTATTCAGCAAAGACACATTTAGAATGTTACAAAAGATTTATATTTCAAATAAATGCTGTTCTTTTGAACTTTCTGTTTATCAAAGAATTCTGAAAAAAGTACATTTTCCAGAAAAATATTATGCAGCACAACTAAAGTTTTCGACATTAATAATAAGAAATGTTTCTTGAGCAACAAATCAGCATATCAGAATGATTTCTGAAGGATCATGTGACACTGAAGACTGGAGTAATGATGCTGAAAATTCAGCTTTGCATCACAGGAATAAATTACATTTTAAAATATATTCAAATAGAAAGCAGTTATTTTAAATTGTAATAATATTTCACAATATGACTGTATTTTTGAGCAAATTAATGCAGCCTTGGTGAGAATTTTCTTACAAAAAAATAAAATCTTTCTGACCCCTAATTTTTGAGCTGTAGTGTATCCTGGCTATTTCATTTATGTCAAATAATATAATTAAAATAGTGACAGTTAATATCTGAAGACCATCTAGTTTTATTGTTAGTGTTGTCCAGTGCTATTTTCATGTTATAGGTTATGAAATTGAAAAATGTACTGCATATTCTGTATATAAAAACTTAATTTATTTTGTGCCTAATTTTATTTTCGTATTTAGCTTCCGATTATATTAGTTTTATTTTAATTTTATTTCAGTTAACAAATGTTTTCATTTAATTTAGATACATTTTTTTTGTTTGATTAACGATAATAGCACTCATGCAGCCTAAATTCATTCTCCACATTGCCATTGTCTTGTGCTCACATCGTTCTGGTTAAGCACGTATGCGCCTTGCTTATTCAGCTTGCACCCATTTTCTAACATCGTCATGTCTTGCACTATAGAACAATCCTCTCGACCCCCTGTAGGTGACATTTAGCATCTCATGTGCTGTTCTCCCTCCTCAAACAAGGGTTGTGACGGTGAGGAAATTTTCCCACCGGTTAATCGACGTGTGACAACACCGGTAATACCGGTATCACCGTTGGGGTGGGGTGGGGGGTGTTATTTCGTTTGAGTTTCCCTCTTTTCTTCGCTTTCAAATGGCTTGTAAATGTGCCATGAGCATTTTACTTTCACTTTCAAATTAGCAGCAATTGAATTGCCGCAATTCAGCGTCAAGCAATTGTTCATTTGAGTTTTCCCTCTTTTCCTCGGATTTCTTGGCTTTCAAATAGCTAGAAAAAGTGCAGTGCGCGTTTTACTTTCACTTTCAAATTAGCTGCAATTCTGCTTTGATTCAATTCAAGCAACAACAACGTCAAACTCAGAACTTTTATTAACAAAACAAATAAAAATACACAATATATGCCTAATAAAATAAATAGCATCTGAATCCCCCAGGACACGATTGTTCTTTTGATGGTTGGATTTGCACACCATATGCTCCAAAAGAGCATTTGTGTATAGTAATGAAGGGATTCATTATGTTTTACTCTTCCTTTTTGTTTTTTTTCTCAGAACTTGTATCAGAACAGGTTTCTCGGGCTTGCAGCTATGGCCTCTCCATCTCGCGCATCTCAGGGCAGGCGGCGATGTAAGAACCCGATTCGGCACAGTTTCAACCCTGAGCAGTTCCCCAATGTGGACTTCCAGAACGGCATACCGGAGGAGCTGGCGGCAGCCGTGCTGCGCTCCACCAGCGACACCGACCTCGTGACCTCTCACTGCCGCTCCACCCTCACCGTCAGCACCTCCAGCTACACCATCGGCCAGACGCAGGACATCACCCTCAGCTGGGACATCAAGGAGGAAGTGGACGCGGGTGACTGGATTGGCATGTACCTCATTGGTGAGCGTGTTTCTGTTTGGTTGTGTTTTATGATTCTTGAGTTTGGGGTCGGTAAGATTTTTTAAATGTTTTTGAAAGTAGTCTCTTACCAAGGCTGCATTTATTTGATCAATTTGATACAGTAAAAACTGTAATATTGTGAAATATTATTGCAAGTTAAAATAACTGTTTTCTACTTGAATATTTATTTGTAATAATAATATAATATATTTTGAAATGTAATTTGTTTCTGTGATCAAATCTGAATTTTCAGTATCATTACTCCAGTCTTAACAAGTGTCACATGATCCTTCAGAAATCAGTCTAATATGCTGATTATTATAAGCATATATTAAGGTTGAAAAGAGATGTGCTGGTTATTATTTTTGAGGAAACCATAGTACTTTTTTTCTTTTGTAACATTATAAATGTCTGTACTGTCACTTTTGTTCAATTTAATGCATCCTTGCTGAATAAAAGTATTACAGTCTTTAAAAATATATTTTTTTACTGACCCCAGTTTTTTTTTAAACAGTGTTTTTTTTTTTAAACAGTGGTTTATGCTGGCTGTAAGTTCTTGATGTTACATTATAGATTCTTCAGAATGGTGTATTTGGTTTCTGGGTTTTTTAGAGCACTAGTACATAGATGGGTTTCTACCGCATGTGCATGTATTTAGAAACAAAAATGAAACATTGCAAGATATTTTAAAGCCTGTTTCCAGCTCAGTAAAGTTAAAAACAGTCATTGCAACTTCATATCTTACAATTGCGATTTTATTTCTCTTAATAGCGACTCTATTTCTCAGAATTTGCTACTTTGTGTCTTAGAATTGCTACATTATAACTTACAACACATTGTGACTTTATTTCCTCATAACTGCAGTTTATTTCTTGCAATAGCAACATTATATCTCACAGTGACATTTTATTTTCTTAAGTTAAACATTCATCTTGCAATTAACAATAATATTTTTTTTTTACTCTGAGGTGGAAATAAAATTCCATACAAACAGATTTTGATGTTTAACGTAACATACACCATTTGGTTTCTCGCATATTCAGCATATTAGAATGATTTCTGAAGGATCATGTGACACTGTAGACTGGAGTAATGATACTTAAAATTCAGCTTTGATCACAGAAATAAATTACATTTTAAAATATTATATAAATTTTTTTTAAAGTTGTAATAATATTTCACAATTTTACTGTCTTTTAATCAAATAAAGGCAGCCTTGATGAGCATAACATAACATAAAAGACTTGATATTTGCATTATATATAATGTAATTGTATTTCAGATCGACAGGGAAAAATAAAGTGGCTGGAGTAGCCCTGCAGCACAGAAAAATAGTACCAGGTTGTCCGTCAACTGAAGACCACACACTTCTGCTGTAGACAGCTCTGTGGATTACAATAGTAGCAATATAGATGTTTCACGTGTGTCTGGTGTCATAAAGGTTCTCAGATGGCCTTTAAATGCTCTTTGTCTTGAATTTGAGCCTTAAAGAGTATGTGTCTTTTAAAGAATCAAACGCTTTCTCATTTTTTTAAAGCTGTCATGAATGAATAATCAAAGATGTGATTCTCTGTACGACATAAAGAATAAGACAAGAGGCTTTTCTCTTCTATTTCTCGTAGATGAGGTTCTGTCAGAGAACTTTCTGGACTACAAGAACAGAGGTGTGAATGGCTCCCACAAAGGTCAGATCGTCTGGAAGATCGAGGCCAGCTCCTACTTCGTAGAACGTATGTGCATTTTTGTAAAACATGCTTGTTAAATGATACAGCATTACAGCCACTTATTTCCCACACACAGGATGCCATTAGAGCTGCTTAAGGTTGTTTGTGACTTTGTATGGCTGCTAAGGTAACAAACACCCCAAAGCAAACACTTCCATGCTAACTATTTGTTTGATGATGTTTCAGATATGAGGTGTGAAGGGAAATTCACTCAGCAACCCACTACAGACACCTTGGCAATTGAATCGCCATTGGCTAGTAAATTTTTGTTTACTCGCCAGACTTAAATACTATACTATATATTGTGTGTGTATATATATATATATACAGGGATTGAAATGAACTTTTTTACTCACCAGCCAATTTGGCTACTAAATTTTTAAGTTACTGGCCATTCATAACTTCTACCAGCCAAAAAAATAAAAAAATAAACCAACAGCTTGAGGCTGTCTACATGACAAAGCGACTGTTGCAAATCATTTTGTGTCGGTACTAAGGGTGTGCGATATTGACAAAAAATTATATCTCAATATTTTCTGGGATTTTATTGATAAAGATAATTAGACAATATTTTGCGGAGTGTGTTATTGTGCTGATATCTTAAGGATACCGTGGACAGCTGACTCCTAAAGTTTTACATTTTCTTCATATTCTGTGTGGTCAGTTCACAGCAGTGATAGAAATTAATCTTTTCCAATAAGTTTAGATTGATTTTTACCTTTATAAATCAATTTTTACTAAAAGTGTGCATCATCTTGTGAGTCAAATTCTTACATTTAATCAGGCAATTATAACAATACTACATTTAGGCTGTTACTAAACAAATGAAATCAGTATCAATAAAAT